CAGCCCCAGCCCCAGCCCCAGCTCAGCCTCAACCCCAGCCCCAGCTCTAGCTCAGCCCCAGCCCTAGTTCCAGCTCAGCCCCAGGCCCAAACCCAGCTCTAGCTTAGCTTCAGCCCCAACCTCAGTTCAAACTCAGCCCCAGCCCCAACCCCAGCTCTAGCTTAGTCCCAGCCTCAGCTCAGCCCCAATCCCTACCCCAGCTCCAGCTCAGCCCCAGCCCCAAACCCATCTCTAGCTTAGCTTCAGTCCAAACCCTAGTTCTAGCTCAGTCCCAGCTCTAGCTCAGCCCCAGCCCCAAGCCCAGCTCTAGCTCAGCCCCAGCCCTAGCCCCAGGCTTGGCTACAGCCTCAGCTCTAGCCCCAGTTCCAGCTTCAGCTCTCACTGTACCCCTAGTTCAACCTCAGCTCCAATTCAGCCCCAGTTCCAGCTCAGCCTTACCTCCAGGCTCAGCCCCTGCTGTATTTCTATTTCAACCCTAGCTCTAGTTCAGCCCCAGCCCCAGCTGTATCCCTAGTTCAATCCAAGCTCTAATTCATCCTGAATTCCAGCTCAGCCCCAGCCCCGGTTTCATCTGCACCTCATCTCTGTTTTAGCCTCAGTTAGGGTTCAACTCCAGTTCCAGTCTATCTCTAGTTGCACATGAGAAGTGCATTTGTTCAACTTAGTAAGACAATAAGGGTACACTAGTCTTAGACCTATTTAACCCTCAGCTTCATTTCTCTCCCCTCAAGTCAGTAGGGTGGACAAGTCTCACCTCACTTCATCTCAGCCCAGTCCAGCTACATTTAGCTCAGCACATCAGGGGATCATTATAGATTAACCCTCATACTACTTGGGTCATTTGGGGTGTTTGGGGAAGAAGGAGAGGAGGTAAGTATAAATGATCTTCTGGGGCTTGCATCAGCCAAACCCAGCAGGGTCCTCATATACCAATTCAACACAATCACCCCAACCTCAGGTTCCTCATTCTACTCTTTGTCAATTTCATTCCCTATTCTAGCTCTTTTTGCCTTAAATCCTGTAGCCTAGCATTAATCTGCATATCCTTATCTCATATCCACCTGTCCACATCCAAACTCCTGTGGCCTAGCCCAGATGTCCTTGCTACATGGTGACAATCTCTCTAGGCAACTTTCCAGAATAGGCATAAAAATTCTTATTTAAATTGAAATGTTATCAAAATTGAAAATCCTACAATGATTTATAATTCACAATAACATTAATGTTAACTATTTTCTGAGCTATGGATGCTTAATAATGAACACTATTTATATGAACAAAGAAATAACTGGAGAAGTTCTATCCTTAGGCAAAGACCATCAACCAAATCTGTGGTGAGAACATTATCTAAAATTCCACATTTTGTAATTCAAAATGAATAATTTGGTTTCAAATAAATTCTCTGTCAATGAAATAATTTCATAGAATACAGAAAATATGCATTATCTAAATTTGATAAAGTGCTATTTAAAAGTAATGCCACTTTAATAAAAAAACTACTAATGTTGCACATTAGAAAGATTGATCATAAAAATATTAATACATAATTTAACTTACAACTATAAAACTATTGAAAATATTGTGTTTAACTCATAACAACTGCTAATTAATACATAATTCAGAAGAAATTCATATGCTCTTTCAACTACTTAATAAGGGAACATTAGTAGATACCCTCATTATAAACTACCTGCTATGTATTTATTTCATAAGCAGGTACTCAATAAATGTTTATTGAAATGAACTAAAATTCTACATTGTGCATAAAATAAAAATAAAAAAGTAACTGATACCAAGTAGGAAACTAGGTAAAGAATAAAGTGGACAGCAGCCAAAGCTGCTTTCTTACCTATTAGGTGATCAGTTACTGGAATGTGCAGCTGAGCCTCCTGGCATTCAAAGAGTCCATCTGATCCCATTTTATAACCAATCCTTTTGTTGGTATTTGATGTCTAAACCTTCACTTTGAATCTCCCAGCTGAGTGCTGGCATGACCAAGAATATGGTATACTTGCACTGAGGCCTCAGTGGAGAACAGTCTGGCCTCCAAATAACAGTGTCAAAAGAATAAACTTACCACCTTTGGAGGAGTTTGGCTCTCCAGGTAAAGAAGCCTGTTCAGTTATTATCAAGAAAACTCTGAGTTTTATTATTTTCTTAAAATCGAATATCTTTGCTACAATCCATACTTTTTGGATATCAGAATTTGATTTGTCATTTTCAGCTTTGTTTTTTTAGTTTTTTTCCTCTAACATTTTTAAATTTTAAAAAATCCTCAAATTCTATGCAGATTCCATTTAATATTGAATTAAAGAAATTAAAATATGCCAATTGTGTCTTTCAATTACCAATATTAAATCTCTTAGAATTCCAAAATGGATGTTATTCAATCTCTAATGGAAAGTTTTTAAATTGAGTAAATCTAAAGATAATATTTGAAGTTGAAATTGTTCAAAATGGATTATTTTAAAACAGAAATCAAACAAATGAAAAATATGATAGATGCATTAGTAAATCATGATATAAACTTGAATTATTGAATTTCTTAAATGAATCTTTTAAAACTAAAACAATCTCAGAGTGAAAAATGATGACTGGAAAAATAAAAAAAAAGAAATCAAAAGAATTCAACATTACTCTCTGAATGTCTATTACCTTCCTTGCCATTAAACAAAACAAAAAAAAATGCAAATTACCCAGGTGTTGTTTGTCTCAGTGGAACATTTTCAGATATTTTGGACTATGCAAAACTGGCTGAAAACTACTTCCTCTCAACTGAACTGTGGAAATGAATTAATCTTTTTTTTTCTTTTTCCTAGAATAGAAGTCAGTTTCCTGCCACCTGTTTTCCAGATCACTGAGCACCATATGGTACATGAGACCGGACACTGAGTGGGTGCCATCTTGGTTCTACCTGGAATTATTTAATTTAATTTATGTTTGGTTATTTTATGTAACTTGGTTATTTATCATAAAAACTATCCTGTCTTAAGGTGAGGAGAACCACAGGCTAACTATTTGCTATTTCTCATATGTTATAATTTTTAAATGTGCTATTTGTCTTTTTTCAGATACAGATTTTAAATCTTTCAATATTTAAAAATATCCCTTCATCTCAAATAGATACTTAAAAAAGTTTTTTGAATACAATCTTAATGAAACAAAGATAATATTTAAAGATGAAATTTGGTAAACATAGTTAAATGAATTATTGTTTGAAATTATTTGTGACTCTCAAAGAATGACCTAAAATTTAATATTTAAATGGTAATAGTTTTAGTCACTCTCAAACTTGATTTTAAGATATTCATTGAAAAATCTCTCAACTTCATAGTTACATTCTCTTGGCCTACACTGTAGGGAACATTTCATATTTCTATAGGCAATATTTCATATTTAAGCCCTCCATTTTAATTAAAGTTAAAAGTAACAGGAGATCAGTTGTTTCAACCACTTTATAAAGACACAAATAAGAGAAGCTGGCAACTCCTATGAAGAAAATTTCTCAATTGCCTGAAGTGGGAAAGGGAGTTAATAGACTTTCTCTTGGTCTAACTTGTCATTTCTAATTGAGATAATTGTCTTTCACTGGTCACCTTCAGCTTGATCCAGCAGGAAAATCACTCTCTGATTGTCTGTTACTAAACCAAACTTTTACAATCTTCTCTCTCAATTTCTCTTCCACTAGTCATTTTGACATTTTAAAATATACATGTGTATGTATGTGTGTATATATGTATATGTATGCACACATTTTTGCTATATATGTTTGTTGTATGTTTTTGTTTGTTCTAGGTTTGTATATATGTACATATATACATCATATATGTATATTTTATGTAATACTATATATAATCTATATGAATATACATACACACACATATATACACATACATATTATATATATATATATATATATACACAATAGTATTATAATTTTACACACCATATAACATGCCTGGTGACTATTGGGGATACCATATGGGAACAATATATAACATTTACTATGATTTACTAGTATCTGCACATAAATCCTATATTTGCCTTGGGCCAAATCCTCTCTACAAAACCTCAAGCTCCTGATATACTTAGGAGACAAATTTTGGCAGAAAATATTGCATTCCAAAATCATACTCTGGCTGTCCCTGTCCCTACCCCTTTTCCCTGCCAACTGCTCTGCTATCCCAGTCTGTCCTTTTTTAGAAAGTATGTCCTATAGGATATGCCTTTAAACATTCCAGAGAACCCTACATTTATAAACAGAAAAAAATCATGAAGGGATTATTCTTTATCTGGAGATGGTCCCTTGGCCCTAGTACTGCATACCATAGTCGCACTGGAGAAATTGCAACTCCTTTCTCACAAAAATCTAGAAGACAACTTTGACCCCTTTCTCTGCCTCCCCAGGAAAAAGATATTTTCAAAAGTAATATGATTTCTAATATTCATTCTATATATCGGTCATTATTCACAAGTTCATTATTGCTTCTGGCTGTTTATACACTTTGAGGCTTCAGAATTGAACCCTGTTCACAGCAAGTTTCTGAGAATCTGTGTCTATTTATAGAAACTTAGGAGATAAATGAAATCTGATAGAATTATCTCTTGACTTCTTGACAATTTCTCCTAGTTCTTCCTAGGTTGTTTTACAGATAGCAGGCAAGCCACTCATCTGGACATTCTGACTGAGGCCAGCCCTGCTGGTCATGTCTCCAGATAAAAATCCCAATCTAACTTCTAAAGTAAAACAACCCAGCCAAGAAACTTTCCCAGACAAATGGGAGATACTAACTGAAACACCTATCATCCATTAGAGTGATAAAGACACACTCTGAGTATCAAAATCACTGTTTAAGAAATTAAGTTGTACTCAGGACAATCACATTCAATCTCCTCTGAGGCTAAAGAAACCAGGAACTTTTCTAAGACACTTGGAAACACTCCTCTATTAGATTTTAAAGGTAAGGCATCTCTCTATTCTTTTTCTTGAGCATTAAACTGCCTCAAACAGTCTACGAAAACAGTGAAAATGCTGAACAGGCTAGGGTGAGAAGCTAGAATGGCTCACCTGAGGAGATAGTCACCATAGTCCCCTGGCCTATTCAAACCAGTTGTCACAGAACAAGTCAGCCTAATTCCCAGACAATAATTGAGTTATGCCTCAGGGATCATGGGATTTTTTCTAAGTTAAAGCCCTATGGACAGTCTATCAGGTAGAAGCAATCCCAGAAGAAGGGGGAAGGGTGACTAAAGCAATTGGGAGACTTTTCAATGAGTTGCTTAGTGGGAGAGGGAGAGTGGTTTCTTGCCCAGACAGATGACCTCTCACTGGAAGTAACCTTGGACCCTGTATTTTTCAGAGACCCTGACTCCTGATTTCTTCCCAAAATTTCAGTTAAAATGTAATAATAAGCCAAGAAAGATGCTGAAATGACTTACCTGAGGAGACGGTCACCATGGTCCCTTGGCCCCAGTAGTCAAAATAATCACATTAATTTGAGCCCCTCTAGTGGGTGTACAAAAACTTGGCTCTCTGTCTTTGGCTCAGACCCTCTCTGAGATGGTATCTTAGGCTCTATTTAGTCGGGCAAATTGGAAGATAGGTTGGTTATCTGTAAGTACAGATTAGGCTTTGTTGGATTCTCAGAGTGAGAAGTGTTGATCCATGATTTCATTTCCAAGACAGATATCAAAATAACCTTCAAACAGTCCCATGGATGACAAACAAACCCAGATGACATCACAATAAGGAAGCTCTATCTCTAGCCCAGGAAGTCTCTCAGACCTGACTCTCTAGGACTAAGTTGCTTATAGATTTTTATTTCCCTTCTCTGACTAACTACTTCTCACTCAAATCCTCAAAGTGACCCAATGGATCCTTCTACCTCTGTAAGACAAGATTTGTTTGAAAACTGAGTCACAAGCCAAATAATAGTGTCTGGCCTGACTTAGAGGCCTTAAAGAAGATAAAGAACATTCATACCTGAAGAGACTGTGACTAGCTCCAGTACCCAAAAGTATCAGCACATGGGCTTAGTCATCACCCCTTGCCAGACACAAACCTTTCAATTAGTGCTCTCAGATTACCATGGCCAAGATTTCCAACGACGTATTGGATTCTCCCCTTGGACCTTTTCCCATTCTCATTGGAGAAAGACCCCCAATGGTCGTGCTTTCTCTCCAAATGGGGAGTAATAATATTCAGTAATAATTTTCAGTGAGAGCTAGTTTTGTTAGAATCTCTTCTCAAGTTTTAGCTTCTTTAATCTTCTCTGACTATGGGGCTCCTTTTATTAAAGAAAGAAAATGTGGCAAAGAATCTATTATGTCTATAGCCTTCTTTAGGTCTGTGAGGAAAATCCAACAATGAACTTGGGGCCCAGGGACTAATCAGTCTGGCCCCCAAGACTCCACTGATTTTGAGATCAATGGGGCTAAAAGCTTGGAAGGATTTGGAAAATACAAAAGTTGCCAATGAATATTCAATGGAAATTGAATAGGAACTGTTGCAGATGATTTTATTAAATGCATTAAAAGGATTAATGAGGCATTCTTGCCTAATTCTTTCCTTCCTATCTTGATCCTTTCCTATGAGACCATATAAAAGATCTTTCACCTAGAAAACCCTAAAATCAAGCTGAACATTTAGGTGTGTAGCTGTGAGAAGAGAACTCACTTGAAGAGACAGCCGCAGTGGTCTCTGAACCTCTGTAAAAATACAAACAAAAATCCCCCCCCAAATCCACTTCTGCAAAAATTCTATTGACTGGCTATGCTTATTTGGCTTCCCTTCCTCCAAGATCCTTCTCATCCATGAGTCTTCTATGGTCCCTAAAACTCCCTTCTTGGCCCTGTAGAGTCACTTCAGGTATCTGAAGATGACTTCCCTATCCCCATACATCCTTTGCTCTGCATAAGGCTGGAGGTTAGAAATCAGACTCACCTGAAGAGGTAGTCACCATGGTTCCTTGGTTCCAATGCTCAAAATAAGAATAATCACAGTGCAGTGTTTCTTCACTTGAGCCCTCAGTTTCCCTCACCTCCCAACCTAGAACTACAATATCTAAAATTTTTATTCTGTTTACTTCCTAAATGAGCCCATAAATTACACACTTTCTGCCTGAATGCATTATCTGACTGCTTCCCCAGTAGCCACGGTCTGAAGAACTCAGGCTGTTTCACAGCCTTCTTACAAAGAATCAGGCATCAGAGACAAAAGGGTTTCTGGGTCCAAAGAAATGCTGAAAAATGATTGCCCCTAAAAGTATATGCCAAATTTGTTTCAAGTCCATGAAATCTCATGTTTGAAAACCCAAGAAGGATTTCTCACCCCCCAGATTCTCCCAGTGAGTAAAGAGAGAAAATGTGTGTGTGTGTGTGTGTGTGTGAGTGTGAAAGGGGTGGGGAAGGAGTTTGAGTGTGGACATACTTGCTTCTAGAGCTTTAGAAAGGAGAGACATTTTTTATTCCTTTAAAAGAAATATACTTGTGGTTCGATACTCTCTTTGTGATCATCTCCAGGGAGATGAAAGAGAAAGACTTTTTCAGACATGTAGGGGAAGATAACTCCTCAACCTTTCCCTTACTTCTGTCTATCTTGCCTCCCTAGAGATTAGAGGGAATTTGCCCTTTGGTAATGAAGGGGGGTGTTGGGGTGCTCTTAGATGCACAGAGGCACCCCAAGATTGTGGGAAAAAGCCCAGATTGCGGTGCGGATCTGCCAGAATGAATTCAATTCAGATCTTCCAGCCAGAGAAAAAATTTATTAAAGATAAGCATATAGGCCAGACTCCAAAGGAACCCAAACATCAGTGATCTAAATGGGGTTAAGGTGGTCAGGTGTGGCATGAGGCAGTCTCAACCTCTTGGGCGTGAGGAAAGCTCAGCGTCTGAGTGGGGTCTGGGGCTAAGGTGGTCAGGCCAGGTAACAGGCATGGGGTCTCATCCTCTAGAGGCATGAGAAATTCCCAGCATCTGAGTGGGGGCTGGGGTGGATAGGCCATGTGTTGCCTGTTAGGATGGGCGGGCATGAAGGGTCTCAGTTTCTAAGCTGGAGAACAGCTCAGCATCAGAATGGGGGAAAGGTGAGCCTTAAGTACAGACTGATTAGGGGGGAGGGATCTTAGGAGTGGCCAAGCAGTTTGGAGTGACGGGAGGAGGGGTCCAAGGAGTGGCCAAGCAGCTTGGAGTGACGGGAAGAGGGGTCCAAGGAGTGGCCAAGCATTTTGGGGTGAGGGGTCTAGGGAGATCTGAATGGGGGTGGCCAGCAAGCTGGGTCTAAGGGAACACTGGCACCTAGCTAGGATTAAGGATGGGAATGGGCAGGAAGGCAAAACAATGGGAAAGCCAGTTGATGGAGAAGGTAGATCATTTGGAAAAGGGTGCAGGTGAGAATTTCCATTTGGAATGTCTGAGTGATTTGAACAGACAATGAGAATAGATAATGAAGGGAGCTGGAAGGGGAAGTTTGCTTTCAAAGGGCTTTTAAAGGGAAATAAGGCAGTTTCTAAAACTTTAAGGGTTTCTTGGGACCAGTAAACAAAACTGAAGTCAGGTTCTTTTTGTCAAAGAGAGGTAAGCAAGTCTACAAGGAATCTAAAAGTTTTACGGTTTTTCTGGGAATTATAGGTAAACCTCTTCAGTAAGATTTGGGCCTCTTTCTTGGCTGAGCAAGATTTCATTTCATTCCCTTCCATTTAAAAGGCTCATTCATCCTTGTGTACTTTCTGGTATATTCTAGCACATTTTTTGACACATAGCAGGTAATTAATAGTTATTCATTGACTGACTTCTCTGATTTCTGTTTGCTATCTGCCTAGATAAATTAGTTTGGTCACTATTTATTATTTGTGATAGTCTTTTGTGTAACTAGTATTTGATGGGAAGGGACCAAGATGTTGGTCTTCCCCAAGGAATATCAGCTAGGGAAGTTAGCAACTTTTTGATCTGAATGAATTAAGTCCTTAGACTAGCAATATTTATGAGGTCTGAGAGTGCAGATAGACATAGCTGTAGTCCAATACCATCTATCTCACATAATAGGGCAACCAGACTCAGATCTCCTCTTCTTGTTCCACTCAAGACAGGAATCACAGTCTTTCTTGGAGAGCAGTGGGCAAGATTCCATGAAGATTTCTCAATGTCCCCTTACCCCTAGTCTTCATTTCTTCAGGTTAACACTGTTGTTTAGCCAAGCCTCCCCGCTCTTGTATTTGTGAAATTGACTTTTTTGAACTCTTTAAGACTTTACATTTATCCCTACTGAACTTTATTTTATTAGATTCAGCCCTATGACTAATGCCTGCCTTTATGATAAGTTTCCATACTATTCAATTTCCTTAAATCCACAGTGTTGAGAATATAGATATGAATAGCTTCATGTAAGAGTCATCAATTGTATGTAATGAGGTTAAATGATTCTCTTTGTTCAAGAATGTTGAGTTAGAGTTTGGAAACAACTGAAAGAATATAATAGGGGACCCTTAGTCTGATGATCAGCTTTGAGGGTGCTAAGGGCCTGCACTTATTGCAGAACACCTTTGCCTTATCCTCTTCTCAAACCTATACCGTACTTAGATAGATAATGAGTAAAGACAATTATATTTGAAAAAAATACAGAGAATATTAGTTGCTTCAAATTTCCTTTATTATCAGTAGTACTATTTAAGCTTCCTTATCTGTGAGGTAAATTGATAAGCCTGCAAAAGGAGTATAAGCAATTTATTCTGCCCTTATAAATACCTTTGATAAACTTGTAAGATGAATTTTTTCCTAATGTTCTTTGTTTTTAATGTTTCTAATTGTTCTTTTGATTCTGATGCTTCTTTATTGCTTCTGGTTTTGGTATGATTTTACGTTGTTCATTTGCTCTTTTGTTGATTTGATTTCTATCTTAATATTATATAACAGCTTAGCTAAAGGTTTGTCAATTTTGTTAGTCTTTTCAAAAGCTAGTTAGCTTTTAGGGTTTTAAAAAAATCATTTTAATAGTCCTTTTGGTTTCCAAAATATCTATTTCTAACCTATTTTTCAATATTTCCTCCATTGTACTTATTTTGGGCTGGTTTATTTGTTGGGTTTCTATTTTTTTCAAAGGTACATTCAGTTCTTGAATCCTCTCCTTTGTTTTTATTGTTTTGGGGGAAGTAATTTCCCCGAGAGGACTGATTTAGCTGCATGCAGAAATTTTGCTATGTTATTTCATTATAATCATAACTTCTCAAGTAATTGTTAATCAGTTCTTTGGCCCACTTGTTATGTAGGATTAAATCTATGTTTAGGTCTGTGTTTTTTGTTTGTATTTCCTTAACTGATTAGTATTTTCCTTGTATTATGTGGTATAAATGATGTGTTTAATATTAATGCCTTTTTATATTATTTGAAATGTCTCTGTGTTGAGGTGTAGATGTTAGGGGTGCTGGGACCCAGAAATCACAACACGTAGGTCCTGCCTGAATGAATTTGGCCCAAATCTTCTTTCAGCCAAAGACAAGGTTTATTACAGATGAACCATACAAGCTAGACTCTTAAGGAATCTAAACATT